TTAAAATGTCTCCCAAGCATATGGTTAAAGTGCTGTCAATGTTCCTAAGTGTAAGAAGATTGGAATATATCTTGTGGAGAAAATATTTGTGTTATTAGGTTGCTGAGAAAATCATGACATATTTTTCTGTTTTCCTGTGCAATAATGCATCATGACTTTTCAGATGATCCAATATATAAGTTTATTCAGGTGTGAACTATACTTAGTGCTATTGGTTAAGTTTAATGTTAATAAATTAATAATGTATATTGACTAAGTGTCTTTGAAGAGAAATACACATAAATCAAGGTTATATGCTCACAGCAAACTAATCCTGTATTTTGCTAGAAGCAATGGTTAAGTATTTGCAAACTTAATGTTCATGGTGAATTTATAGAACACGAGTAATGCAAACAATGAGAATCCTTTCTAGGAAGTTCTTCTGATATCTCTTCCAATTTACCTGCTTTAATTTCTTATAACCCTTTATCTGAATTGCCTTCCCTATTCTAAATCATGGTTATACATCCAGGGCAAGTAATAGAATTGTCTCTTAAGAGAGTTATGGGGAAAGCAAATTCAAAGACACAAACCAAGCCAAGAGTAAGTGGATAGGCAAAGTCAATAAGCCAGAGAAGGGAAGGGAAGTAATGTTTGTCAACCACAGAGCCACAATATTGAAAACCTACATTTGCAAGCAAGAATAAGGAGTGCCCAGAGCAAATAGCAAGCAAGCGGATTCTGGGAAATGGCTCCAGTTAGTATTGCTGTCTATGGCTGACTTTTATGTGCTCACTATAAAATGATCTTGAGCAAGCCTGGCTGCATTTATAGTGTCAGAAATTAGGCAGAAACCTGTCTTATAATTTTGTGTTTTCTATTATGGTTATTTATAGCCATGTCATATCCTAACTGAACCATAAGCTCAGGATCTGAGTATGATTCATTTCTGTTAATGTCTAACAATCTCCTGCCATAGTCACTATAAATTTTTCCTGAGAAAGTGGAAACAAAGATAGATTTGGTTATATCATCTATTAATATAAAGACTCCAACTTTTAGTAGTTACAAGTTCGACTCTCAGGGAGAACTTTTTATTGCTTAAGATTTAGTCACATGACTTGACTTAGCCAGGGCCAGATGCTACAGCAAAGCACCATAGACTGGGTGGCTCATGACCAGCTGGAATTTATGTCTCACAGTTCTGGAGGCCGAAGTTCAGGGTGCCAGCATGGTCAGGTTCTTATGAAGAGGACCCTCTTCAGAACAGCAGACCGCTTACTTCTCCTTGTGTCCTCACATGGTGGCAGGGACTACGGAAGGGTCAATAGAGCTCTCTGGGGTCTCTTTCATGACATTAATTCCATTCATGAGGACTCCACCCTTACAACCTCATCACCTCCCCAAAGCCCTGCTTCCTAATAGCATCTCATTGGAAGTTAGGATTTCGACATAGGTACTTTAGGGAAGTGCATTCAATCCATTGCAGGGTTCACACTTGCTTGCTTTGTTTCTTTTATAATATTTGAAAAAGCACACAAACTTCTTGTGAAATATAAAGCAAACATGATACTACTAATATTAGTATTAAGTCACTTACACTTTGTTTTGTTGATTACAAAGCAAAGTATTTTCTGTTACTTTTGTAAAAAGCATTTATGTTGCTTTTATTAGTTTAGTAAATATAAAGAATTAAATTAGATATATTTAGTAGGTCATGTTTTTCATAGAAACTATGAGTAAAGTTTACAAAATAGATGTCAGAAAACCAACATATTTGTATAAAAATTACTTTTCCTTGGCCAGTACCAGTACTCCATATTTATGCCTAGTATATTTTCTAGAAGTTTTTTTGTCTTTGAAGAATATATGGGACCAGCAGTTAGCGTAATGACTATGTCGCTGGACTCCCATGTAATCGGCCGCAGTTCGCGTCCTGGACCCGGTGGCTTAAAACTCACGCCAGGTGCGTGTGCATGCGTGCCCAAGATCCCGAGAGGAGAATGGAGGAGAAGGGATTGTGGCATGGCCATTCCCTCTAGGGGTTGATTTCTCACTTTCTATTTCTCTGTCTCTCTCTTTCTGGCGAGCGCACGCACTCTATAGAAAAAAAAAAAGAAAGAAAAAAAAAAAACCTCTCCAAAAAAGAAAAGGAAAAAAAAAGAATATAAAATATTACATGTAGATGGAAATGTTTGCTCGAAGGAGATGAGTGATGGTTACTAAATAGATTATTGCACTGGTTCTTAGTCTTTGCATGTACTTCATATAACATAATAATGTCTCAGAGTTAATTTATATTAAAAAACAGTGTGTATGTGTGTATGTGTATACTGTTTTTAATATGAATTTATAAATAATAAAAATTATATTTAACAATTTATACATCATTATTTTATATATTACCATATATAATCACATTATATATGATTATATATAGTGATCATATACATATATACACACACATACATATACACACACACACATATATGCTTTTTTTAGATGTTTGGCCAATAAATGTTTACCTCACAGAAATTTTTTTGGGGGAAAGTATGTCAAATTGATTTAAAAACAATATTCCTCATATGAACAGTGAAATATCATTTCCTCGTTCATTATTTACTTTAAATAATTAGCTCTTAGTATTATATAATTTAATCTGCTCATTTTAGTTCTAATTTTATTGGTGACAACTAAAAGTTAAAACTTAGTCATTTTAAAAAATCAGTATCTTTATATCTAGCTATTATTTTCTTGGTCTAAATGGTAGGGATTTCCACAATAAAAAAGCTATAAACTATGTTCAGAAAGCTTTATTCTAGTATTCTCCTGATTTAAAAAATTATGATTGGATCTTTTTCTCAATTTCAACTTAAATGGGACCGCTCATAGAAATTGCTGTGCTTAATAGCATAGAAAGAAAAGGCTTGATCAAGGAGATCTTTTGATGTTCATTCACTGAGGAGCCACATTGTACCTTATGGCTACTTAAATTTGCTGAGGAATGAAATGGATTGCAAGCCGATGATCTGGAGAGATGATGGAACTAAAAATAGTTCTTTCCCATGGTGAAATAGCAGGATATGAATTTATGTGGCATTTCTACTGAGACACACTGTATGTGGTGTTACTTCTTACAGACATACATGCCTTGTCTATTTTAACCATATTCTACTTCACTGAACAATATTGCCAACCATTTCACTGGATAATCATCTTAATTCCAAGAATGAATCAAAATGTGCAGAAAAAAAGACTTTGTTCACTGTACAGTAAAGGCATGATTATCAAGTAAATCAGCATAGTTCATCAAATCTTTTAAAGTTAGAAACCTAAGTCTCATTTTATAAAAAAATATTCAACTATTGTTTCTAAGTCACATACACATGTTTGGTTTTGGGCTCATTGTTCTAAATCTCACTTTAGTGATCCTAGAAAATAATACATTTTTGTGAGACATGGGGGTACCCACCAATGACATACCCATCCTCTTCCTCACTTCTCATCCAAGAACTTAGAAATAAAGGAAGCACAGCTGACTTTTGAGAGGTGAACAACAAAATCTTTCTCTCATAAGAAGAGAAGGTTCAAACCATGGAGCCATGGCATCTGCTTATCCCTAGATCAGTCATAGTTAAATGGGTAGCCAGAAGGAGAAAAATAGGGTCAGTAAGATAAAATGTGGTTTGTAGATCAGGCACTGGCCGAGGCTGTGTTAAGCTATGGAGATACAGTAAGCTAAGTCACAAGAGATGACTTCACTGTGAAGAAAAGATATTTCATCTGGACCAGCAGTTGGTATAATGGCTACGTCGCTGGACTCCACGTAGTCAACTGCAGTTTGAGTCCTGGATCCGGTGGCTTAAACTCATGCCAGGCGCGTGTGCGGGCGTGCCCAAGATTCTGAGGGGAGCATGGAGAAAAAGGGGTTGCAGCATGGCCATCCTCCTGGGGGGGGGGGTTCTTGCTTTCTGTCTCTCTGTCTCTGTCTTTCTGGTGAATGCGCACACCCTACAGCAAAAACCTCTCCCCCCAAAAAAGAAAGAAAGGATGTTTCATCAGATTTCATCCTGACTTTGACAAGTAGCCCTCCAGTTAATCCATTTACTTGTTCTAATTCTTTGCTTGTTATGACTAAATAGACTTCTGGTCAGTACGGCAAATTCCCAGACATCTTGTAGAAAAAAGAGAAATGTTGTGTTTTAGATAATGGACGTGAGCAGTTTAGTAATGGAAAGCTGTAGTCCTATTATTATAAATTAAGAAAGCCTTCAGTAGCTATTCATTATATTCTAGTATCAAATGAGTGGAATCATTATTGGTTTGTTCCTAATAGCCAAGTTATTGGGTTGTTGGAGAAAGTCATGTATAGAAAATAAGTCATGACTTTTCTGACAACCCGCTATGCCTAGTCATATTGACAAAAGTTTCATTTCACACTTACAAAACTGAGGACCATTTCTAAGCTTTGGTAACCTAGCACAATTTAATGGAATTTATTGAGCTCTGCCAACTTACTTTGACCTTGAAATAAATCATAGTATAGCATTACAACTCTGCTAAACGTTAATAACAGAAATGTTATGTAATGGTATATTATATGTATGATATCTTAACGTATGCAATACTTTCATATTTTTCTTATATTCACATGAGAAAACTACTACTAGTATTAACTATGTGACATTTCCAATATTAGTTTTTTGGTTTCTTTTTTTTAACCTAAAAAGAGGGCAATTTTACATGCTTAAAACTTAGCCTCAGTTTTTTTCTCTGCTAAGTTTACTCACTTGTTTCACAATGAACTGATCATATTATTGCCTTGAACCTTAAACTTTCCATCTCTCCTTCTTCTTAATTTGCACCAACAGATCACTTCACCCTTGTGGACACCTCGGCCTTTTTGACCCTGAACTGCATGATCTTCCTATCTTCTATTTGCACTTCTGTGTGACATGAATTAGCTCCTGAAGCCCGAGTTTCCCAGATTCTCAACCAGTTGCCTGCTGGGTTTGCCAATGGGAGGCGCTAGTGGGAGAATGAAAGTCACTGGAAGGAAAGAAGCCAGGGCTATCCTCATCCTCTTTCATCTGTACGTAGTGGAGTGTCTGACAGCGGTTGTATCTCCTCTTGCTCCCATTGGGCAGCTTGCTCTATTTCCAGCTTCTGTGGGGTGACCTCAGTCCTGGGACTCAGTAACACCTTCTACTTTTTATCTAGGGGTAAGAGCACGCCCTGATGTTTTAACTCTGTGCTAACTCAGTATCTGTATGTGGGTTCTCATCTCCTTCATCACCTGCCTAACCAATTCTCTGCACCGTGTTCTTTCTGTTGTAAATCTTTGAAGTGATTGTCCTTTTTTTCATGAAGCAGTGACTGAAATAAGGGCTAGAAAGACAAACTGCTAGATTTGAGTCCCATTTTATTCTCATCACCGAATCTACAAACTAATTGAGTCCCAATTTTTCTTCTCATCTTGTGTCTTTCTCGTTGAAGACAAATTTCTCCACCTGTCCTTTCTATCCAACCTCCTCTAATTTTAATACCTTTTCCTTTAGTTTTAAGTTTTTTCATTGTCTATACAGTTCATAGATGTGATCAGATTCCAGCAGAATTTTCCTTCAGTCTTCTTTGGCTCTGACTTCCAATCTAGCAATTGCTTTGCATTGCATTGCTTTCTTTCCTAGCAAACCTACCCAGAAGTTGTCTAAGTGTACTGTGCTACCTCCTTACCTTTTATTCTGTTCTAAAGTAGCTTCCACCTCAGCAAATCAGTTGTCACCTTGGATCAAACTTTAAATGATGAAACCCAATGAATGTTTTTCTGTCCTCCTTTCAATTTCCTGCACAGCAGCTTTTGACAAATAGCCTGTCTCTTCTTTCTGAAAGCGCTGGCCTCTTGTTGACGCTAAGCTTCCATATTCTTCTGGGTTTCTGTATTTGTTTACTCGATGCTATTAATTTCTCTGCATCATCTTCTAGCTCTGTCTCCTTAATTTAACCTCGAAGGTCAGGATTTCCTAAGAGCTTAAAAATGATTCCTTGGACTCCTCTGACTTCATTTTCTCATTGGATGATTTAATTTTCTAAGGGTCTACTTAAGTTTTTATTAGGTGATTGGTTTTTATGGCTCTAAACATCATATCTGTAGTGATGGTTCCTGAAATATGAACTTAGTTAGGGCCACTTTTCTAAGATTTATATAAAATTTCTAAATAAAATATCTACTTGGATATCTTATAAACAGCTTATATTTGGGACCAGCAGTTAGCATAATGGCTATGTCGCTGTACTCCCATGTAGTCAACCACGGTCGCGTCCCAGACCTGGTGGCTTAAAACTCACACCGGGCGCGTGTGCGTGCGTGCCCAAGATCCTGAGAGGAGAATGGAGAAGGGATTGCGATGTGGCCATCCCCCTGGAGGGTGATTTCTTGCTTTCTGTCTCTCTTTCTCTCTCTGTCCGTCTGGTGAGTGAATGCCAAAAACCTCTCCAAAAAAAAGAAAAAAAGAAAAAGAAAAAACAGCTTATACTTAACTTATAAATTTAAATAGTCATTGTTCTAGTCTTCCCTGTCTTACTTATGTTATGAAATGAGATGGATAAAACTCCAGTAGCCCTTGCCAGAATTCTAAGAGTCACAGTTGAGATTTAATTTCAATCCATTAACAACATAAGTAACATTTGTTCAATGCATATCACGTACCCGGCACCAGATTCTGCTCATTACAAACATTAATTACTTAATCCGCACAATCTCATTTGAGGTGTGTACTATAATTTGTCTCCTTTTTCACAGATGAGAAAATCGCAGCAGAGAAGCTTAGGTGATGCACTGAACGACATATATTATAGCTGGTAAGTGACATAACCAGGATTTCAGAGCAGATGATTTCGATTCAGAGCTCATGTTTTCACAACCATTATGCTGTGTCCCGTATTATAAAGCCAGAGTTAGCATATTCGCAGCACTTACGATGGGACAGGCACAGTTGTAAATGCTTTAGGTACATTAAGTCATTTTCAAAGAAAATATTTTCACTGTCTATTCTGTTCATCAAGAAACAACCAGAGAAGTTAAGCAATGTTTTTCAAGGTCAGTAAAAAGACTATTTACAACTGGCTTTTTTGGCTCCAGAGTCTGCACTTTTAATCAAGTGATCGATGTATCTTCAGATATCCTGCGGCTGCTACGTGCAAAGTCCGTTTGGATGTTTTTCATGGCTAGGGAGCAAAACCAAATAGAGGTTTTAAGAAAGGAAGCCAAAATGCATCACTTGTTAGGGAGCTAGAGTGATAACTAAAATATTCCAAGGTGGATGAACTCTGGCACAGAGGCAGAGAGAAGTTTAATATTTAATTAAAATGTCCGGGTCCAGCCAGTTGACGAATGTAGGCCTCACAGTAGGAAAACCCACCACTAATGTCTCTCACTGTAGCTATATGCTATAGTTAGACAGGAAGCAAGCAGGATGTCTCTTTTCATCATTATGAGAATATGACACGCATATGCCAGGCAGAAATATCCGTATTATATAGCCTCCTTTAATAAGAATCAGAGGGGTTAAAGAAGTCATTCACATTGTTAAACCAATCTGCAAGTGATCTGGGACTAATACCTCTTCTGATTAATTTATACTCAAGTGACATTCCAGTTACATCATGGTTTTTATTTTCTGGTTCTTCTTTGAGATTTTCCAGAGTAAGCCAAGAAATAAGGCAGTAGGTTTGACAACAACTAAAGATATGTGAAAAAGCAATACCCATTGTCAAGAAACAGGAAATTGGTATCTGGTGACCATTGTACCAGGGAGGAATTTTAAAAGGTTGACTTCAGTATTCATAAATTTTGAAAGATAATCTTTCCAAATTAATTTCTATAATTTGGAGGAGATGTAGAAGGGGATTAACTGCTCCTTAAAATTATCTCTCCATGGGATGCTGTTTGAAATATTTTGAACTGAAATACTTTTAAGCACCACTAACAATATTTCTAAAATTATAAACATGTGTAATGTAAAGATATAAAAATATATATGTGAGGAGGCCAGATGGAGGGTTACAGAGTGGTCAAATAAGAAGCTCTGTGAGACAGTTCCACATGGGAACATTCCTGGTTCAAGGGTGGAGACCTCCCAGGGTACACTGGCCCATGACCTGGGGCTGGCTGAAGGGCAGGGATTGGTCACAGCAGCAAGACCCTGTGTGGGGGGGTGCTCTCGCTCTTCCTCTCTCTCTATCTCTCACTAATGGAAAACATAAATAAATATGCTTTAGGGGAAAATTGTATATATGTCAGACCAGCTCTTTCAAATATGAGTGAATTATACGTAAGAGAGATGAACAGCAGGGCACTTCGCATAAGACTTTCAGTTATACTAGAACCAAAGTACAAAGTCAGGATTTAACCAAGAAACTCTTAGAAGTATTTTTATAGAGAGACCACATTTTGAAACCAGTTAAACTTTAAGAAAAAGTACGTATGTTTGCACAATTTAATTTTTGCACGGACAGTTACTGTGGGTGTTGAAACAATAAAGTTCTCAGTAGCATAGTGAGGTGCAAGAATGGGTGAGAACAGAACTATGACAGATGTATAGAGTACCATTTAATGATTTTATCGTTATACTTTTTGAAAAAAATAACAGAATTGCTAGTACAGGGCAAGTGTCACTTCAAAAATTCTTGAACCCAGTGATTTTCAGAAATCACAAACTGTTATAGTTAGAAAACGTAATATAGAGCATATTTCAGATATCAATATCACTTATTGAGGGGTCTGAACAGCGCCTTTTAATCAATGATATTTATATTTATGTTATTTGGAAAAAGAGTAGTATAAATGGTTAATCATTAGAACAAGTCTGGTTTTTGCATGAAATAGGTTCATATCAGGATAGATTCTGCCCTTTAGTGCGTCTGAAGGTAATTCTTGATTTTCTGAGCTTTAGGATTTTACAATTTCCTAAACTGCTTTGTGGTCCTGACTGTTGTGGTGATTAACAGTGACATCTAGTGGTGAACAGCGTGCATTCACACAAATATTTATTAAGGGTTGTAATGCTGATGACACTTGAATTAAAGTAGAACACTCAACTATTTTATCTCTGATTATATACAAATAGATTTTTTTTTCCTTTACAGAGGAATTCTTTTTTTTTATTTTTTGAGCGGTTTTTGCTATAGGGCACGTGCGCTCGACAGAAAGACAAAGAGAGACAGAGAGACAGAAAGCAAGAAACCCCCCCCCCCCCAGGGAGGATGGCCATGCAGCAATCCCTTCTCTTCCTTTCTCCTCTCAGGATCTTGGGCACGCACCCATGCACACACGCTTGGCATGAGTTTAAGCCACCAGGCCCTGGACTTGAACCGCGGTCGACTACATGGGAGTCCAGCGACATAACCATTACACCAACTGCTGGTCCCTACAGAGGAATTCTTAGTCTACACAAGGAGAGAGTTCTATGCGTATGATATCAACACATTATGAGGAGTGTGAGGGAAAAGAGGATCACATAAAAGAGGCCCTTACTCAAACACGGTGGTTGAAGAGCACAATCTGCAAGAGGACACCTGAATAGAACCTTGATAATGAAATTAGTGAAGAAAATGGGTAGCGTTTTTTGTTTTGTTTTGTTTTGTTTTTAATGTGTGTGTGTGTGTGTGTTTTGCAAAATAACGCAGAGAAAAAAGCAATAGCAGAAATCCAAATGCAGATATTACTGTAAGAAGAGACTAAGAGGCCAGGGGGGCGTGATTCATGATTCCTGTGTGGTAACTCCCTAAATGCCAAACGTGAAGCGAGTAAATTTGTTTCCATTGCATAGTGCTCTGTTTAGTTTAATTCTATTTCTTTTAGTTATCAATACTTTTTTAAAAATTGAAAACATTTATGTCCCATAGCTATAAAACAACCTCAGTTTTTAAAAATACAAAACAAATTATTTAAAAATAATAAAAATAATAGAAAGTATTATTTTCCATAATTAATTATTACAACCAATAACAAACTTTAAGACAGAGTTAATAATCCAAACATGAAAAAAAACATGTCATGATAAATTGAGAGGCATTAGGTTATCACATCAGAATAATTTACCATCAACCCAATTGATTCTACCAATGAAATCCTATGAATTTTTACTTCATAACTTTGGTTATAACTTCTTCTCCTTTTTAAAAATTGTATTTGCGGGGACCAGCAGTTAGCATAATGGCTATATCACTGGACTCCCACGTAGTCGACCGCGGTTCGAGTCCCCGACCCGGTGGCTTACACTCACGCCAGGCACATGTGCATGCGTGCCCAAGATCCCGAGAAGAGAATGGAGGAGAAAGGATTGTGGCTTGGCCATCCCCTCTGGGGATGATTTCTCGCTTTCTATCTCTCTGTCTCTCTCTGTCTCTCTGGCGAGCGCATGTACCCTATAGCAAAAACCTCTCCAAAAAATAAAAAATAAAAAATAAAAAAATTGTATTTGCTACCACCTTTATTGAGACTCAGTTTACCCTCAATTGTTTTGTAAGGTTTTTTATGGTATTTAGACATTCTGGTCCATTCTTCCCAAATTATAGCTTTATTTTCCAATTTTAATGTACTGCAAAAATTTATTTTCCTATTTGATTTAGAATCTCCAAAGTTAGGACATTTAGTTTCTTTCTCTAGGCCTCTGTGTGGATCAAATCAGGACTCAGATTCATTGCAATTAAATGAGCCCAGTTAAAATAAAATAAAAATTTGCCACGCGTCATCTTCTAGGTAGTGGGAAAATATACCTGGATGTGAACACAAAGGCACACACACATACAAAAATGTAACTTTATTTAATGAAATAATACCCATAGTTATTACATGCATTATAGTCTAATATTTTTTAATCTATTACAACTTTAAATTTTTACAATTTTACTTGTTCGTACTGCTGATTACAACCCTATTGATTTTATGATGCACAAATAGATCTTGATATGAAAAATATTTCTCCAGATGAAATTTTAATATCTTTGAAAAGATTGAAATATTTGAATAATTGAACAAAACTATGTATGACATATTACATATTACATTACGAAGTTACTGTTTGAGGTTCATAGGACTATGCACAGTTAAAAGGGAACTGTAAAGGACAGGTCAGGAAGAGAAATTACTGCAGGAAATAAATCTTGACATTGGCCTAATAACAATTTTTAGGTGGGTATTTCTTTTTCTTTTTTTAGAGTGATTTTTGCTATAGGGCATGTGCACTTATTGGAGAGACAGAGACAGAAAGAAATCAACCCCCAGGAGGATGGCCATGCTGCAATCCCTTCTCCTCCATTCTCCTTTAGGAATCTTGGGCACGCACACGCTCACACCTGTCACTAGTTTTAAGCTGCCTGGTTCAGGACTCCAACCATAGTCAACTACATGAGCATCCAGTGGCATAACCATTATGCTAACTGCTGGTTCCATTTAGGTAGGTATTTCTTCAATGTGCCTTTCAAAGTAAAACTGATAAAAAAAAGAAAAGATTGAAAAAGTACAAATCTTACCCAAAAAATTTCAAAGAGGTAAGTTGATTTTTTTCCTCTTAATTCTTGAAATGGATTATATGCAAGATAAAAAAGAAAGGGAAAGAAAGAAAAGAAAAGAGAAGGGAAGAAGGAAGAACTGAGAGAGTTTCATCTCTGTTGACAGGCTATCAAAATCTTTTTTAAAACAAATTATTTAATTCTATTTTTTGTTATCATCATTTAATTTTCTATAGGGCATATGCGCTCAGCAGAGAAAGACAGAAAATGAGAAAGTAAGCCACCAGGTCTGGGACTTGAACCACGGTCAGCCTTGTCAGAGTTCAGCACCTTAACTTCCACACCAC